TTCAGGCCTAGAGTTCTGGAAGGCCTCCAAGGACATTACGTGCTCTGAGGAAGATGAAGATGAAGAAGAGGGGGTCCCAAAACACCCCCAGACCCAATTTCCAAGAGGCGTGGCGGGGGCAGAACCTGGGTGGTGGCAGGACGGGGATTGGGCGAAAATCATTATAAAACTGTGAACATCTCGATTTCGGGAGCGCGCGCTGGGGGTTATTCCAGAAAGCCTGGGGGCTCATTAAACCTTTGTATCCTTATCTTATCTCCTACCTAATTTGGCTTGGAGTCTTTTTTTCCTCACAGCCATTTAGACAACATTAGGAATGTTTAAAAAGCGGGGATTTTGAATCGGAGGTGTGCTCTTGGAAATTTTGGGACCTGAGCACCCAACACGTGTTGTAATTAAATTTTCCTACTCGTATTATCATTATTATTTTCTTTGTTCTGTGGATTTTTTTGCCATTGTTGTAAATTTAAAAGGAAGAGATATTTCTCACAATAGTCACTGATAGGCTACGGAAACCACCTCTATGGGTTATTATACATATCTGATATCTTCCCTAATCACCAGGACACTTTACAGCAACTGCAAGGCATTCTAGATTCAGACTACCCCTCTTGGCTTTGTGGGATATGACAAAATCTCAGGATTTAAAAATGGGCTGTTATAGCATGTATTCATGCTTAATTAGATGCTGCTACTTTTGGTCTGTGTTTTGGCCCAGCCACCTGTGAGAGTCTGTTCTTTTCCTGCCAAGTTATGTGAAAACAAGCACTGATAAACAAGAACTTTGTCCTTGAAGGAAGCATCTTGTATAAACTGAAATTAATTGGTGACTGGCTATCGGCTGACGGCCCTCCAAGGGCATTTGAAGGAGAAAGTGAAGAGGAGGAGGATGAAGTAAGCCCCCAGACTCATTTAGAAAAGACCCCCCAAGTTGTAGCACGCAGGCGCGGGGAAATTCCAATGAACACGCACACACGCAGAAGGGGCACCACTTACATAATGGAGGGAGGGACCGAAGGCCTCTAGCTGGGCAGTGCTGGCCGCACCTGCCCAGGTAGATGTCATAGATTAATTGTATAAAAAGCAGATAGCTCTTGCTGGGAGCAGAACTCATGCTTCACATGGAGGACAACGCTACCTTGGCAGGGTATCCAGGGATGCAGCTTCTGCTATGGGTAATTTTAAGCATTCTGGGGTCGGTAAGACAACGTCATAAATAGCGACTGAGTGAGGGGGTTATCTTGGGGGCTTATTTCCCTTCTCTTTCCTGTCTCTCAGCTTCTCGTTTTGTTGGCCACTTCTTTGTAATAAATATTGTTTTGTTGAGCTTTCAATGGTGTACTGGTTTCAGTTTTGGCATTCTTCCTGCTACATAGCATTTCAACAAAAGATTGAAGTAAATTACTATCTTCATGTTTGCTTTTTACAGTACCTTGAAGGAAAATAAATTAAGTTCCTCCTTGTTTGAGGAGCAACTGAGTGGAGGGTCTGGCAACCGCCCAAGGCCAACCCGTCACAATTCCATGTTGTACATATGTGCATATATATATATATATAAATATTATCTCACTAATAGAACTCTTTCCTGAAGAAGTTACAGGAGGAGGTCAGCAGGCTGCACAGCATCAGAGAGGATGAGAGATAGACAGTATCTTCTCAGAGACACAACAGCTTCAAGAGGCCCAGTTCCCAGGTGCATCGGAGACACAAGCAGTTTATCCCTAGCAGAATGGTAAGCCCAACCTCTGGGAAAGGCAAAGAATGGAAACTGGTGACTTCTGGTAGAAGGTTCCTGCTCCACCTTAGGGCTTACAACTACAAAATAGGTTCACTGTCCTCAGAGCTGAGGAGGAGCTAGATGTGCTTTCAAGCAAAGCATCTGGACCAGCTGACCCTGGACCATGCAAGACCACCAGGAGGAAGTGGTAAGTGATAGTAATGGGCAACTCCCTGCTATAGGAGACAGAGGCACTGATCTGCTGACCTGACCTATTGTCTAGAGAATTTTCTTGCTTGTTGAGGACCTGGATCCAGGTTGTTGTGGAGAGAATGGTTTATTCTCTACTTCCCATCAGCAGGCAATGTCCAGCTGCTTCCTGGAAAGTAGGGCCTCAATACCTGTAGCGCTTGCTCCAGAAGACAAACGCCTTAATAATGAATGCCTCCCTCCCCTCCTCCTTTCTCTTTGCTTTTGCTGTTGAGCGGATGTCATATGGCATGGAATATCTCTTTGGTCAGATTGGGTCAACTGTTCTGGCTATGTCCCCTCCCAACCTCTTGCCCACTCCCAGCCTACTGGCCTTTGGGGGGAGGGTGATGGTGGTAGCTGGAAACAGTTTCCATGCTGTGGAAGCACTGCTCAGCAGTAGCCAAAACACTGGTGTGTTATTAACACCTGTATAGCAACAAATACAAAGCACAGCACTGTGAGGGCTGCTATGGGGAAAGTTAATTCCATCCCAGCCAGACCCAATACAAGTACATATTCTAAATTAATATTTTATGTTACAGTGCTCTGCACTTTTACATGGTTCCTCTGTTGATCTCGGCATCCTTAAAAATACTAATAAAGTGTGAATTATCCCAAATCCTGGGATCCAAATGCTGTTACTTTAAAATGGCAGCACCACAGTCACTTTTTTTGAGTATCCCTATTCACGTGAAAATCAGTAACGTGAATTCAATTAATTCTTGCTCATACACCCAGGTTTTTTTCTTATATCACAACTACATACTGCAGAAGCTCTTTTTTTACCAAAATAACTTAGGCTAAGGAAAATTACCATATTATTTCAACTGCAAGAAAGTCTCTTTTGAGAATAAAATTTTTTAAAAGTCTTACTTTACATTACTGGATTTCATAATTCCCAGTACCTTTTATCCTGTTTTAAAGTAAATTTTTGTGCTAATTTAAAATAAATAATTGTGCAGGTTTTGGCTGGGGTAGAGTTAATGTTCTTCATAGTATCTAGTGTGGCTAGTGTGGGGCTATGCTTTGGATTTGTGCCTGAAACGGTGTTGATAACACAGGGATTGTTTTAGCTATTGCTGAGCGGTGCTTACACAGGGTCGAGGCCTTTTCTGCTTCTCACAGTGCCCCACCAGCAAGGAGGCTGGGGATGCACAAGAAGTTAGGAGGGGACACAGCTGGGACAGCTGACCCCAACTGACCAAAGGGATATTCCAGCCCATATGACATCATGCTCAGCAATAAAACTAGGGGAGAGGTTGGCAGGGGGGCTGCTGCTCAGGGACTGGCTGGGAATCAGTCTGTCGGTGGTGAGCAATTGCTTTCGTTTGTATCACTTACCTTCCTTGGGGGTTATTTTTCCCTCTCTTTGTTATATTTTTAGTTTCCTTGCAAGTTATTGCTCTTGCTGTTGTTGTTACTATTGCTGTTGTTTTTGAACTGGTTTCATATCATGACCAACTGACCCCTAACCATGAACGACCACCAGGAAGTGCTGAGTGATAATAATGAGTGACTCCCTGCTGTAGGAGACAGAGGCACTGATCTGCCAACCTGACCTATTGTCTAGAGAAGTTTCTTGCTCTTTGGGGGCCTGGATCTAGGATGTTATGGAGAGAATGCTGGAGCTTGTCCAACGCTCTATTATCCCCTGCTTTTCTTCCATGTGGGCACCAATGACAGTACCGAGGCAACCAGGTGAGTATCAGAAGTGACAATTGAGCTTTAGGAGTGATAGCCAGGGGCATGGAGTGCCAGGTGGTATTCTCCTCAATCCTGCTGGTGAGAGGAAGGGGTGTAAGGAGGAGGGCACTGATACAGCATGTCAACAGTTGGCTGCGGAGCTTGTGTAAGCAACAGGTTTTTGTTTTCTATGACCATGGGACCCTGTTTGAGGATGAAGGTGTGCTTGGGAGATATGGACTCCACTTCACCAAGTGGGGAAAAGATATCTTTTCCAGTAGGATGGCTGACCTGGTAAGGAGAGCTGTAAAGTAGGAAGACAGGTGAGGGAGTAACCAACAATCCTGTAAGAGAGTGAAAAACAGGGTCGAGGAGCAAAATGCCTGGAGTAATGTGGCTGAAAGGGAATGCAACATAAAAAAAATTAGGCTTTAAACGGGGCCACCTCCAACAGTCGCATGTAAGCAAGGAAGCGCCTGCAAGGCACCATTACGATAAAGAAAACCCCAACAGATTCCTTCTGGGAAATCAGCATGCTGGGGTGATTGGACAGGATACTAGATAATTTCATCTAGACTCCCTTTCCCATGATCTGTTGGACCAGAAGATGATCGTTTGAAGTCGCTTCCAACCTGGGCTATTCTATGATTCAGTATTTGAAAAATGTCAGGAGGCCTGAATGGATGAACGAGGAGCTCCTGGCAGAACTCACACATAAAAAATTAGGTATACAGAAGGTAGAAGCAGGGACAGGAAACCTGGGAGTAATACAGAGATGTTTTCCAGGCATGCAGCGATATAGTGAGGAAAGCCAAAGCCTACCTGGAATTGAATCTGGCAAGGGATGATGAGGACAACAAGGGGTTCTATAAATACATAGGTGACAAAAGGAAGACTAGGGAAAGTGTGGGCCCATTGCTGAACGGGACAGGGACCTTGGTGACACAGGACATGGAAAAGGCTGAGGTACTGAATGCCTTCTTTGCCTCAGTCTTTACAAGCAAGACCAGTCTTCAGGAATTCCAGAAATCAGAAGGAAAGTCTGGAGCAAGGAAGAATTACCCTTGGTGGAAAAGGATCAGGTCAAGGAATACTTAAGTTGCGCTATGCTGTGTGCCATACTGCATTATGGTGCACATACAGTGTGGCCTTCAGGCCTGTGTTGTGCTGCACAAATCCCTTGGCCACAGGATAGCAGGATAAACTCAGCCAGCTCATTGTAACAGAGGATCCTGCAGGCAGCTCCCAGTTGGTACTGCTGATTATGCCACTTGTGCAGCTTTGCCTTTATCTACAAGCACCTCAAGTTCTTATGTGAACATCCTTCCTCTTTGACAGTGGAAATTATAGAGTTGTTTCCTTATAAGAAAATCCTATAATGGCTTGAAAGACCAAAAGGGGATAATCTTGGCTATGGATGGGGTCTGCGTGGCATGCCGCATGTGGGTTGGAGTCCTTTTCAACGCTACACTGCTCAGGGTTCCCAGCATCTAAAGGGTTGCTATTCTCTCCTTATAGAATTAGTTAAATAACATTTTAAATGAAACCTTACAGAGTCTAAGTGCCTTTCTTACTGGAATCATGACAGACCAAAACCTCCCAGTGCAAAACAGGGCCACTAAGATGATTAGAGGACTGAAGCATCTCTGCTATGTGGAAAGGCTGAGAGAGTGGGGACTGTTTAGCCTAGGGAAGAGAAGTCTCAGGGGGGATCTCATCAATAAAGGGAGTGTTAGGGAGTGTTTTGACTGTCCAGAGCTTGACGATGGTGATGAAAGGGTCGAGCGTTTATAGATAAGAATCAGGGGAAAGGCCAACAAGGCAGATATCCTGGTGAAAGTCAGTTATAGATCACCCAACCAGGATGAAGAGGCAGACAAAATATTCAATAAGCAGCTGGGAGAAGTCTCACGATCATCGATCATCACTAGCCCTTGTTCTCCTGGGGTACTTCAACTTGCCAGATGTCTGCTGGAAATACATTATGGCTGAGAGGAAACAGTCTAGGAGGTTCCTGGAGTGTGTGGAAGAGAAGTTCCTGACCCAGCTGGTGAGTGAGCCAACTAGGGAAAGTGCCCTGCTGGACCTGTCATTTACGATTAGAGAAGGACTTGTGGGTGATGTGATGGTTGGAGGCCGTCTTTGGCATAGCGAACATGAAATGATAGTGTATCTCAACATTCCCCCCATCATTAGGCTGGGGGTGGGCAAGATCCTGGGAGGGGACACAAGTAGGCGCCAGCTGACCCAATCTAACCAAAGGGATATTCCAGACCATATGACGTCAGCTCAGATATAAAAGCTAAGGAAAGGAGGACAAAGGTGGGGGCATTTGTTATTTACAGTGTTTGTCTTCCGGAGCAACTACTATGTGTGCTGAAGCCCTGATTCCCAGGAAGTGGCTGGACATCGCTTGCTGATGGGAAGTAGAGAATAAATCTTTTTTTGCCATAAACCAAAGTAAGGTAAAGGGACCTGCATGGGTGATCCAATTCTTGGGAGTGTAGTGGTTTGCATTTTAGGCCCCACGTTGACCTCTTCCTGGATACCAAGTCATAACTAAGGAAATCTCATATCCCAGGTATTCCATCCTGTTTTTTACGTAAGCAAGAGTATAAATAAGAAGGATAGAGGAGGGTGTCTCTCTCTTCTCTTCCGTCGGACTTGAAGATAGCAGGATTCTGCGACCGGCTCTCGCTTATCTGGGAGTGAGGCCTGCTGTGACCTGTTGTTTTTCCCGGTCTGGGTTGAGGGGTCTGGTGAAGTGGCTTTCGTTTTTTTTAAGGAAAGTATTTTGTTCTTTTGTTTGCTAGTTCTGTATTAACTGTGTATATCTGCGCATATTGGATTTTATTCTCTGTTTTAGTTTTGGGGAGTTGGGACTCTTTGTTTTTATGTATATAATCTATTTATATGTATATAATCTCTTTGTAATTGTATATAGATGTAAATATATATATATATATATATACTGCTTTGTTTTTGTCATTTCGGTGCTTTTGATTTTTTTTTTTTTTTTCCTTCTCCCTCTCTTCCCTTGTGTTCATGGGGGAAGGGGGCGGAGACTGCAACTGTAGGCTTGGGCATTTACCTGGGAGCCAGGTCCAAACCATTACAGGGAGTAAAATGGCAGGATGGATGCTGTCACGTGCCTTCGGATGTGGCTAACAAAATAGCAACTATGTCTCCACCAGCTAGCAAGAAAGAAACATAAGCTTTCCTAGGCCTTGTGGGATTCTGGAGGATGCACATTCCAGGTTTTAGTCAGCTTGTGAGCCCCCTCTATCGAGTGACCCAGAAGAAGAACCATTGTGAGTGGGGCCTTGAGCAACAACAGGCCTTTGAGCAGATCAAACAAGAAATAGCTCATGCAGTAGCTCTTGGGCCTGTTTGGACAGGACCAACTGTGCAAACTATCCTCTACACTGCAGCTGGGGAGCATGGTCTCACCTGGAGCCTCTGGCAAAGAACATCAGGAGAAAGCCGAAGTCGACAGGGTTTTGGAGCCAGGGTTATTGAGGATCAGAAGCCCACTGCACTCCAATTGAAAAGGAGATATTAGCAGCCTATGAGGGGGTCCGAGCCTCCTCAGAAGTCTTTGGGACAGAATCATAGAATCATAGAATCATAGAATCATAGAATCATAGAATCATAGAATAGATTGGGTTGAAAAAGACCTCCAAGATCATCAAGTCCAACCCCTGATCCAACTCCAATTACTATACCATGGCACTAAGGGCCACATCCAATCTCTGCTTAAAAACCTCCAGGGATGGTGAATCCACCACCTCTCTGGGTAGGCCGTTCCAATGCCTGATTACCCTCTCCGTAAAGAATTTCTTCCTAACATCTAACCTAA